CGAGAAAAAGGTGGATAGAGGTGGGTGCAGGAGAGGAGCTCAACTGCTATTGGTGGGCGGGCATGTCCAAAGTGGGCGGAGTTATCACGAAAGTTTGTAACTCGGCTCCAAGAAGTCCTGGAGACCGGGAAAGAAGTGGACTGAGTTTGTCAACGAAAAGGAGGTCAACTGCGCCATTGGTGGGTGGGGTGTGCATCAATGTGGGCGGAGTTTGCCCAAAATTTATAATTAGCTGAAAAGTCCAGGAGACCGGGAAAAAGTGGATAGAGGTGGGTGCAGGAGTGGAGCCAACTGCTATTGGTGGGCGGGGCATGGCCAAAGTGGGCGGAGTTATCACGAAACTTTCTAACTCGGCTCCAAGAAGTCCTGGAGACCGGGAAAAGTGGATTGAGTCCGTCAACGGAAGGCAGATCAACTGCTATTGGTGGGTGGAGCGTGCGTTGAAGTAGGCGGAATTTGTCACGTGATATTACAGGTATTTTCAAAGAGAGCCCAGAGGCTGGGAAAAGTGGATAAAGGTTGGCGAAGGAATGGGGCCAAATGCTGTTGGTGGGCGCCACCGAGGATTTGCGGAGTTTCTCACGGTGGTAAAAATATCAATGGCCCTGACTCATACCAATGCAGTCCCGTGTGAAGCATGCGGAATGCGTGCGCAGCTAAACTGGTAATCTTATAAATGATAACTGACAGTGACAATAGTTGATAAATAATGGTTCAATAGTGGTGTTGTATTTGGTTGTAGCATAATGCAGCTTCGATGTTCAAAAAATGGAATATTACTCGTTATAAGCTTTGTATTTTTTTAAGAAAAACTTGCGCATTCCAGGGTGATCCTGGCCACGTTCAATGCAGAAATCCGACGGCATCTTCCCTTCATGTCAAGATATGGTAAAACTTCGATGGTCAATGTGCACACGCAGCCGACTGAAACTAGAAATTGAAAGCAACTAAAAACGCTTTGCATCACCTGGAACAGCCGGCATAGGAATATCGAGCAAGGTCCAGCTGCTACTGGATTTCAACTTGAATCAACCATATTGCGAAGCTTGGTACCAGCCAAATGGAGCGCATGTCGATCGATTACTATTTATTTCTTGTGCGCTGATATTGAATTGCAACCGAACCTAATGAAGTCAATGATGTTAGAAAAAACCGGACTGGTTCTTGACACAGCATTCAAGATAATATAAACAGTAGGCGTACTCCCGTGGACAATCTTCATATTGATTTCCTCCTTATTCAGTTGTCCACACCCGGGCACCGTTAGCGCAAAACTTATTGATTCAGCGTTTTGATGTGTTATCTGCGCACCTCGCGCATACACACTGCTAAAGCACTTCTGTATCTTTTCCATTTTTAAAGAGGCTAAGTCTTAACCTAGGTAGAATTGAAGTTTTCATACAGACTTTATGTTCTACATCATGTAATGATTTTTAGTGTTGTAGGTACATTGTTATGGCGTCAGAACAAAGCATTAGACGTTTCCGTTTCGCATGTGCCTTCAGACGAAGACTAGACGGCTTATCTATCCTCTGTGCTCGTCAGTAAGGGCTCGGCAAAGAATCTACCTTCATTTATAAACTCTTACCATCAATTGACCACGGTCTCGTAACCAAGGTCAGCTGTCCGTTAGTCGAAATCCAGCGGCGGGGTTCGTATTGGCCGACGAAAGGAGGGGGACCTAGACAGACAATCGTTCTTTGCAGGAGCGCTTCCTAAGGCACTGAGGGTACTAAGGCATTTGCACTGACTTGCAGAATTTTGGAAATATGGAGCTTGTATCTCAGATACTCTGACTGGTAGTTTCTCATGGTTTTTTCAATTGACCATCCGTTATACCTTTAAAGTCC